CACATGATGGAATAATTATTTAATAAGAGAGTAAGGCTTGATTTATTTGTACGTTGACAATGTTATATATTCGTTTCAAACTTTTTCTTTATACGCGATTATCTGAAAAAGATTCGACTCTAATTATTTGCCATCCCTCCACACCCCCGCCATTTTTATAATGTATTGTATGGGAAATTTTGGGTTTCGTGTCTGCTTCTTCCAAAGCATTATACTTCCACAAATAAAAGAGTAGCAAATTAAACAAAAAACAAAACAGAAAACAGAAAAACAATCAGTACTTGGTGGTAAAACAAATGGCATTTACCATCAATGGTAAAAAATTAAACAAGGAAATAAAAAAGACATCGTTCACAAAGCTGTCATTCTAATTTAGTTGCAACTTTCTGCATTGGTTATATACACAGAACTTTCTGCATCTTTTATGTACATAGAAAGAGTTCGACTCCAAACAAAACACGAATCTGAGTTTGGTATTGCAATGATTATCTTTTAACGCTTTCCAATTTTTTTTCCCCCGCAATACAGAGTGAAGCAAAAGTATATTGGAATATATGTAAGTTCAATTCAGTACAACAAAGAATATCAACAGATGGATGAAAGTGAAAACACCGAATATAGTTCTGCTCCCGGCATGCAATACAAATTTACGGACTGAATGTCTGTAATAACGCGCTGGATTAATCGTGCAAGATTAAATGGGTATGAAAAAAAAAACAATATATTGGAACTACTTCTGGTCTCATAACTCTTCACTGTATCCATCACGACAACACCCTGCACATTTTACGTACGTCAAACGTGTATTGCACTAATTTTGGTCGTCTGATTTCACAGCCAAACAATAAAATACGACAAAGATACATTTCAAGTGACATTAGTGTTGTATTGTGATTGATGATCAGTCATATCGCGTGCTAATGGCCGTACTGTGATCATTATCACAGCGATGATGGAGGCAATCAAATAATAAGATCAATCGCAGCTGACAGAGTTTGCGCAGAAAGGAAAGTAAATAATATGCTCTTTTAAAAGTATATACATCTTGTCCGCCAAGCTGTCATATCACAATTGTTTCTGCCGATAACGCATCCGAACCTTAATCATAATATATTTTGTTTAAAAAAAAACACCTTTGCTTAGTGGAAAAGCGCAAATATTGGGAACAAATATTTTGTATATTATCTTTTTCTGTTTGTAATATATTTTGTTCCTTTTCGTATGTAACCTTTTTCCTTTCGATAGTGGTTGCATTATTTTCATCTTCGCTAGCCAAGATTCTGACATTTCAACCCTATCTGTACCTTGGCGTATCGAGCAGATATTTATGTGCATCGGGTCTGTGAATTTCATTGGCATCCAATCAAAATTAAGTTGTTTTTTTTTAAGATTGTTACTACATCGTCGAGACAAGGGAATTCACAACTAAAATGGACTCTTAAAAAGCACTTTTTCACTGCCGATCCACATTGGTGCAAAAACCTTTCACTTAAAAAAACTAAAAAACATGTAATGGCTTCAATTAGGTATGTAGCCATACTTTCGATGTTAAAGTTACAAAGTGTCCTTTGAAGTTAATTGCCTTCATAATTTTCGGTCTACGTACAATGCACCGATCTTACACGCTATTGGGTATTTGGCCTTACATACTAAAGGAGGCAACTCATGAAATCCAATAGATGTCGGTAAGACAAAGCACTAAAATATCTGTTCGATCTGCCAAGGTGTAGATAGGGTTAATATATCGGAACCTTGACTAACGAAGATGTTATGCTTTATGGTGCAGCAACAAATTATGGTCATTTAGTACCGAGTTAAATTATGTTTCCACAGTAGTCTACCCTGGTTGATTCTATATGAATCTGATTTGGCGTAAATGGGGAAGGTAGTATAACTGAAATGATAGTGTTCGAGTGTCTTTAGGAACTCGAGACCTTGTTTGAGATCCGAGAGCAAAGTCCCGGTGTACATGTACAAAGTCGAAAAGAGCAAATGTATATCGAAACTGCTCCCCTCTAACATTTCAGCTAGGAGCAATGAAAACAAACAACACTCAGAAGTTTCATGGCAATACCTCTGTCTCTGCACGAAGGCTGTGTGGCAAGTCAAGCCAAACCAAGGAACACGTCCAAATTAGCTCCTATATCGCTGCCTTACGGATGTTTTCCACCCTTGGCTGAGAGTTGGGGCAGACGGGGCGCTTGTCTCAAGCGCCATAGGTCCTGCAGAGCCAAAACTACGGGCACAAGTGGTCTTTGGGCGCCTAAATTCCTTTGGGCCTTTATCGTCGCCACGGACATAATTTACCCGTAGTAGGCCACTGGGTCATCTAAACATATCTTCTCCTTGCATTAATATAAAGTTGACTGGATCATACATTTCTTCGCTCATGACAGCCTATAATTTTTTTTGAAAAATATTTTATTAAAACTACTGGAAAAGAACCAAGGTGAATTTCATTGTGACACGATCTGCATATTGTGACGTCTGATACTTGCACCCTTTAAACACATCAGATCTATGCTGCATCACTGCAGGTAAAGATTTTTTTAGTTTTCCTCCAACATATGAGAGAAAATCTCCTTATTCTTCACTAAGGCCATTGTAGATAAAAGATTACAGCAAATACGGTCCAAATTTAGTTTGCTTTAGTGTTTTATGGTAAAGAAACAAACGCGGGTTATTTTGTGCTGATGGAGTGTGATGTAGTTTTCAAAGTTTACAATTTGCTTAAGGCAGCATGTTAATACCAAATTCAGAGTATTTTATCAAAGGTGGATAACCCGCAAAAAGTATGACTAAAGAAAATTTTTAAAAAAGAGAGTAGGAAACAACGACCATTTTTTAACTTCAAAATCAATGTCAATGTTGTACTATAGTTAGAGAATTTAACGCATATATCACGAGAATGTTGTCATTTATTACCAACTGTTTTTCTCTACCATCTCCATTTTCTGCACCATCCAAGTGCTGAGGAGCTGAGGAAATGGGTAAACAATTACTACAAATAGTTCATCGTATCTAACTGGGATGTCATGGGTCTTGAAATCATATATTAAATATATTTCCTTCAGTTGTTTTGAAAGGCCACTCACATTAAGAAAATTATTCGTATTTATTCAAGAAGAAAATTAAGTGCTGATAAAATGGCCGCCTAAACTGGGCTACATAGTACAATAGAGAGAAATGGACACCTATCGTACAAAAATAATTTTGAAAACATCTTATATGATACAATGTTCAAAAAGCAACGATTTCTACGGCTACAACATGTAAAGATTTTTCAGCCACAGTACATAAAAGTGGTATACAGTGCTTCTAGCATTCTTTCATTTGCGCATGCGGCAGCTGCAAACACCTGGCACTCTGCCAGGAGTACTTTTTATATTTGAACAGTATGAATATAAACCCGATCTCACATTGCGACAAGGTACAAATCTCGTATATCTAACAGACTGACACATTTTACACTGTTTGGAAGTTAGTAAATATACCTTGCATGGTGTTATGTTATTTGTGGCAAAGTCCATTAAATAAACTCATCTGTGAATAAAAATTAACATTTTAAAAGATTTAAATTAAGATCCTATCAGTTTTCCGCAACAGAAGGACCCAGAACACAATTAATTTTACCATACATTCTCTACATTTGTTTCTCAGTACTAAACTTTCGACTGTGTGACAATCAATACAAATCATATGTTAATTTAAAATACCTTCAAAGATGACTTTCACGTTGATGCTCTTATCAATGGTTCACTGTTTATTGTTGGGGTTTTTTTGTTGAGAAAGGCTGGACTGTAAAACAACCAATCGTGCAATCAAACACAGAATTCACTTCCGGATCATCACCAAAACATTTTTACACACTGTCGCCGAAACACACACAGACAACCACATCATAAACTCATATCCTAACAAATAAGCAATTGCCTTTAAATCCTTACCAAAAATACCTAAATCTAACTCATGTATCGCCGCCAGATGATGACGGGGGGAAAAAATGCTCTAAAAATAGACTGAGACTACATTCATGGGAACTAAACCGGAACTATTAATTGTGATCTGTTTTGAAAAAGTAAGAGCAGACAATTTATGGCAGGTCTTAAATGGCTAAAGATTTCCAATGGTCTCATATAGTTTAAGTGAATTTAATATTAGCGTTCACGTGACTTTTATTGTGATTATTACAACTGATAGACGGTTTTCCTTCTTCATTATTTAAAAACAGGACAAACCAGGTATTGTAAGACCATAGAATCCAAGTAATACAGTAAAACTAGGTAAAACGTGACGTCATATTGACGGCATCATTATATAATGCAAAGTACTCTCCAGTGATTTAGTTTTAAAACAGTTTGACCGTGTGGTCAACGGCGTTATGAGTTACATTTCAGTCATTTCTACATTTTATTTGGAGGAAAAACTGACGGAAATTTACAATAACAGTGCTAGAGTTGCTGACGAAAGGCTTACAATTTATATATTTTTTTTCATTAAATATTTTTGTAAATCCCTTAAAAAATGAGACAAACACAAGTACGGGATTTTAGCAACGATTGGCAATTTTCAGCTTGCAGTGACAGTGGAGTTTCAACAGAACCAATATCACCGCCTGGGGACCGGTTTGCGTGTAATGATCAGGTCGTTCGACCCTAAAAGAACGTCCCCAGCCTTTTCCGTGACATACTATTAGAGACCTCGAATATAAACAGTAGCCATCTTGAACTGCTATCAACCCGTGATTAATAGGCATCACAATAATAATTTTATTGACGTCACAGCGACTCGATAACGCGTCCTCACTAATACTTAAATAAGCAATAGTCTGAGGCTATTACCATTGAACAATTTTATTAATTTCTTGATTCCAAGTATTTTTGGAATGACACTAAAGCTCGTAGTTATTTTAATGATTGCTTGCACATTGTCGAATTCATTACTTAAGTTTGCATTGCAATCAACCGAAAATATAAGAGTAAAACTGATTAAGCTGTAGAGTCTCGGTAGCTCAATTTGTAGAGCGTTGAATTCGTAATTTAAGGGTCGCGGATTCGATACCTGCCTCAGCCAGTCAGGTTCCGCTTCCTCATTGTGTCCTTAAGAACGACACTTATTTCATGTTCCCTCGGTGTGATAAAGCCAATAATGAGTCAAAGGTGACGCCAAACCAGCAGACCCAGTAACTAGCTCTTTCTACATTGCATTTAAATATCCTGCCAATCATAGTTTGTCCAACTGGAACCAAGAGTACTTCATGAAACGTAATGCGCTGGCTTATGATTTTCATATATACATTCCATTGTTAACAGTGCAAGAGGTCCTCTAGGTATAAAATACGAAAAACATCATATAATATAGGCCAGATATCTCTCATCAAACTAATATTACAACATATGCACCCCATTCGGTACAATATACTATCACCTTTACAACGTTTGTGGCTTGGGTGCTTGAAATTTTTTTTAACACCTGAATGAGACTAAGTGAAATATGCTGACGAGAAATTGCCAATTATAAAATAATGCATGAATGAAGTACGCAACTAGTCGACAACTAAACTCTTCAAGATGCTTGAAACTTTTGTACAGTGCTTAGCAAGGGAAAACGTAACTTAGTGCATTTTCCTTTCATGTCACTTAGACATAGATGCAGATGACATTGACCTTGAGAGAGGAGCATATATGTGTAATGCATCTTGTCATGATTGACCTTGAGAGAGGAGCATATATGTGCAATGCATCTTGTCATGATATGCATCTGCGAGCATTGTCTTTATCTTTTCAGTTGTTAAAAGTTTTCAACCTCTACCTTTGATGTAAGAAATACAGTCACATTTCCTATTGTTGTGACCTTGACCTTGGCACTGGAGGTATGTATGTAGTGTGCAACACACCAACATACTATTACATATATGGGCTGCAATTGCCATTGAAATATCTTTAGTGGTACAAAAATTCCAATTATACACGAACAAGGGTGAAATCATTGCTTTAACTTCCCTCCCTCCATCTTGACCTTGATCTCGAACAAGGATTCTGGACACTAAATGTCTTTTTCCTTGGTGTGACCTTGATTGATGGAGATTTTATTTTAGTAGGCGATAGACAGACTAGTCATCATTTATACTTGGGCACGATTTCATCAACATCTCTCCAAGACACAAAAATGTTTTGGTTTTTCTATAAAATGTTTTTTAACCTAGAGAATTTAAATAAAATTTACCATTCTGAGCAAAAGTGTATTGTACAATAAATTGCGTAAACACTTATGTAGAATTTAGACGGTCTAATTTAGGAAATGACTAACTTACATTTGGATCCATTTACCGTCCACTTATACAGTTATAAATATGAAACTGAACAGATTCGAACTCTCATTTGAGCTCACATGTAAGCCTTAATTTTTTACAACACTTTGATAAAGTGATTCAGCAAAAAAGTCTATTGGAGTTAAAATGGGAGCTGTATGGACGATTAGGCAAAATGTGGATCCTGTGATCCGTTAAGAAGTCTATCAAGATGGCGGATTTAGTAGCATTTCATTCTGGAGACCAGAAAATGTCCAATGACACAAACAAAATTAGGCACAGGGACCTGGATGACTGAGAATTTTTAAATTAACGGCTGCGTTTCTAAATCGATGAAAAAAACATTTACAATAATGTTAGGACAGGAACTTGTTATAAATTTATATTAAACATAAAATGCTTCAGACTATTTTTTGTGATCAAATTAATGCATATTTTTAAACGAAAATGAGGATAATTTTATTTTCGTTTACATTCTTCTTGCGCGCATTGATACAGTCAACACTCCTGTAAAAACAGGACATAAGGCTGCACATGACTTCAGAGTATCGTTAAAAAACACATTTCAATTACTGTCTGTTTGCTTTGGATGATTTTGATTACCATTTGTTTTATTTCTGCTTTTAGAGGCAAATTTTATGGATTAGAAAGCTTGCGGTTAATTTCGTCACAGACGCTGCACCAGATTTTCGATTTTCACTTAATTTCTGTTGTCAGTCAAGGTTTGATTTACCCTTCGTTTTCAGACATAACTGAGGTGACAGTTCAAGTTGCTACTAACACAATTTTGTTACTGTATGTAATCAAGAGTATTTTCTTAAAACTGAATGCAGTTTGTCTTTATGTTTAACACGTATACAATACAGTACGGGTGACAGACTATCGCATAGCAACAGGTCATGTAGGCCTAAGTTCAGTCAATGAAAATTCCCAGAGTTCATGTGGCAAACTAATCACAAAAAGTTAGTTTTTGAAGTCTGCGAGAGACAGAGATAAAACAAAATGGACCGAAATAACGAAATATATGTTTGAATAAGTGTATATATATATATATATATATATATATATATATATATATATATATATATATATATATATATATATATATATATATATATATATATATCATTGCAGGTTATGTTATCAACGAAGAAGGACAGCTGGTGCCATTCAGAATCTACAAGAAAGGGGTGAGTTGGGACATTCCTTCTTTCATTCTTTCTTCCTTTCATGATACGAACTGGTACACCGAATGACTCCATTGCCTGTTAAATAAAACAAGACAATAAAAAAAATTCAACAAATAAATGCCATGTTTTATTAGTGCTTTGGATTCCTCATTGGCGAATGATTTGTGGTGTCGAATGTGCATGAAATCGGCATATTTCTGTCGTGGATGTAACATATTCGTAGCCATGTTAGTCTCGCTTAGCTAAGCTCGCGCGTGGTTGAGAGATCTGTGAAGATCGAGAAATTGTTATTTTGATTGTTGATGTCGGCTTAACGCCATTTCAAGCACATGATACATTGCTGTCAGTAGATTTAGTGGAAGAAGAACTCGGTCAACTCCCGGTTGATCCATCGACCCACAGGTAGATAGTGTCAAACTTTCTCTCATTCCCATATTGGCAGAATCCGAGACTCGAACCAGCGCGGAGAGAGATGAGATGTTGTTGATCTTTATGACGAGTTTCTTAGACCACTCGGCGACCCAGGCCCCCATGAAAAACAAAATTAATGTCTATAAAATTGATTGTTAACAATAAGTGTCGATCATAAACTTTCTTTCTTATTTTTGTTTCTCTTTCCGAAAAAAAAATGCATCATTTCTATAGTCAAGTTCATTGGATTTGTGTCCACATCATCGATAAATGTGAATATATTCGTACTTCAATGGTATGAAAAGGTGTTGTTGCAAAAATGAGTAAGGCATGCCGCGTACGTGTACACATTAATTTAGTATCAACGTGTATATGCACGGTGTCAGTCAGATGTGACGATTTGCGAGATTGTCCCAATAAACATGTTAGTGGCTCTTCTAAAATATCAACACACATGTGGCAGTTGTAAAGTCATGTGACATAAGGTTTATTAAAGGCTATCGACTTAAAAATGACCAATCAGTGGCTTTACATTTTGGCAGAGTAGGCTAGGCAAACAAGCTTTTGAAAGTGCAATGAATCAATTACACAATATAAGAAAAAAATTGTTAAAATAGTTCGTTGTTTTCTTTACAATTTGCGTTTGAAGTCCAGCAAGTGAAAATGACCAAGTTAGTTAAGATTTTTTAACTGCACATCTGAAGTAAGGCCAAGCTGTATATTCTATAGCCCAAAGTATATCCATCAATCTTACCCCAAAATAAAGAGAATTAAAAGTTCTTTAAACAATATCTAAAATATACTCAAGTATAACAAGTGAAGAAAACCTGGCATTTTTTTTCTTCAAAACTTTTAACTGCAGAGCGCCACCTTAATGCAATCTCATGGAGCCACGCGGTATATCTGATTTAACGAGACGATAGTTGTGCCAAATCTTCCTCTAATACTACTTACCGTTGACGCCCGCCATTGAATCCAAAGACCATCTTTCATATATTAGACCATCTTTCCCTTAACAGGCTTTCCTACATAAGGGAAGTTATTTTATACTTATTCTGGCTTCGCCTACGCGTAGAATTGCTCAGTCAAAGATGGTATCCAACACAAAAAAGACCATAATAATTTAAACAAAAACACAAAAGAAACAGTAATCTGTATCGAAATGAAAATTATGCAACTCCTTCGAATACTTTTTCAAATTCAGTGAATAACACGCCAGTGGAATCGTTTCGACATATGTTCAACATGGCGTACCGTCTGTGTATTTGCCGTGGCTAGCAAGATGGCTGGTGTCATTTTCTGTCGGTTTTTCTTACGGACAAAACTTGAAATACTGTAGATTAACTTCATTTTAACGTAATAGCACTCCATGGTAAGATGGTGTTAATACAGAAAGATGATCATTTGCTCATCAGATGGGTCTCAAAGGATTTAAGTCATTTGCAACTATTCTAGAATCTGAAATTGATAAATATTAAATATTTATCGATGCTGCATTGAGAACGCCACTATCTGTTCCTGCTAATTTAAAAACAAAAAGCACTCAAAAAATTAAGACTTCTATTTAATTGCCATATAGCGTGTCACGTACGACAGCCTTTTTAAAATAGATATTTGGAAAATATTATTTATATGCCACGTATTTTTGTACTATGAAAAAGATTTGATAAAATCCGTAATATATCTACTGTGTTTGTTAAAAACCACTTTTGTACTTTATAATTTTGCATGGGAAATGGCATTGTATCATTTCTTCTTTCATCGCTATGTGAATAATTATACTAAGTAGCCGTCCACACTCGCTTTCTAACATACGATTATTCTAATTATCTTTTCGAAAAAAGATTTAGATTTTTAATAGAAGGCTATTGTGTAGACGGCACTGAAACGTAGATTCTTATATCTAGTAACAATTTTTAGAAAGAAATTTTGTAGTCAGCCTGAATTAAAGATCTTTTGTTTTTAAAGTGGTCAGAGTATCGCTCGGTCATTTCCGTCAAGTCATGAAATACATGTTGGATGTAATTCATCGCCATTGAGAATTATATTCTGAACTACTTCTCTCCTTCATTTGTAAAAACATGGCGGAAAGGATATAAAAATTACTATTTGATCAATCTAGACCTTTACTTTCGTAATATATGTAGTTTACTCAGGCAGAG